ATAAGTCAAAGAACTTTAAAGTCTATGCAACCCAGTATTTAATGAAACACTCTCAGGTCATCCTGCAAATAGTCCAAATGGACATATAAATAAGCAAGCCATGTATTTTATTTAACATTGGCCAGTGCTATTATGAAAACTGTGAGTTGTGAACATAAGAAATCTACTCCAGGGGCTGGAGAGATGGCTCAGCAGTTAAGAGCATTCCCTGCTTTTTTGGAGGAACCAGTTTGATTCCCAGCACCCACATGGAATAACAAGGCCTTAATCCAGCACTTGGGAGGCAGAGGCAGGTGGAGCTCTGTGAGTTTGAAGGCAGCCAGCCTGATCTACACTGCAAATTCCAGGCCATCCAGGACTATATAGTAAAACCCTGTTGGAAAGAAAGGAAGGAAAGAAAGAAAGGAACCATTGAAATGGTTAGGCTCATATAAGCTAAGTAGTGCACTAATTTAGATATTACTGGTGTATTCACATACCTGTTGCCACACCACACAGGTGCTTTCCAATTCCCACCACAGGTAGTTTTCCTTCTCTTAGCACAGGAATCTTGTCTGAGAGAAGGAAATAAGAATTAAGTTCTCTTATGAAAAAAGTATCAATGTGGCCTTCCAGACAGAACGTTTACTAGAATCTTTAAATTTTGGGGCTGAAAGACGTTAAACCTGACTGTCCCAGAACTCATCATACAGTACAGCATGGGCAGTTCTCTGCCTCTGCCTCCCAAGTGTTGGGATTATAGTTATGCACATCACACCTGGCTTCAGTTAAATAATTTAAAATTTTTGTTTATTTATTTCTCTAATTTTATTTTGCTACTACTGGAGACCGACCTCAGCATGCTGGTCAAGTACTCTGCCACAGAGCTATAAACCCCAGCAGTTCAGTTAAATAATTTTAAATACAATCATTTATATGTAAATCCTTTACTACTTCTCAAGACTGCATTAAAATTAGTAGATGGAAGATGTTTGGATATGAAAGACTGCTGAACGTGGTGGCGCTTGCCAATCCCACCATTTGGAAGGTAGAGGTGGTCAGATCTCTCAGAGTTTGAAGCCAGCTAGTCAGGTCTACACAGAGAGTTCCAGGCCAGCCAGGACTCTATAGTGGGACCCTGTCTCAAAATATACAAACATGCACACACTTAAAGAAAAAAAGAAGAAAAAAAGGACTGGAGAGATGGCTCAGGGATTAAGAGCACTGGCTGCTCTTGCAGAGAACCCAGGTTTGGTTTCCAGCACTCACATGATGACTTACAATTGTCTGTAACTCCAGTTCCAGGGGGGTCTGATACCCTCTCCTGGCCTCCACAGGCATTGCAAGACATGGGTGCATTTTCATATATGCAGGCAAAACTTATTTAAAAAAATAGATAAAAAAGAAAAAACAATATGAAAGATGACAAAAAGGTATAGGAAGAGCACTAAAGAGAATGACTGTGTGTGCATGTGTGCGTATGTGGGTGTGCATGCATGTGTGTATGTGTACACGTATATGAGTGCGTGCATGTGTGCATGTATGTGTATATGTATATGAGTGTGTGCATGTGTATATGTGTGTGTGTATAATAGGAATTCCAGTGCTAAGTTATTTTCTCTGTAACAGAGATTCCTAAGAAGTATCTTTTATACATTAGCTACACAGAATGATCTTGATCTCTTTAACGGTTCTGATAGAGTATTAACTATAGCCACCAGCCTAGTGAGTATGAACAAAGTTAATTTGAAAAGGACAAGGATGTGATACATGGATTTATCAAAACTTTTTAAAAAATTATTTGTTTTTTATGTGTATGAGTGTTTTGCCTTTATGTATGTAGGCGCAACTGTGTCATGCAAAGCCCACGGTGGCTGGAAGAAGGAAGGTGTTGGATCCTCTGGAACCGGAATTACAGTCAGTTTTAAGAAGTGGGACCTAAGAAGAGGTTTCTAGGTCCTTGAGGGTTTGCTCTTGAAGGGCATCTTAGGATGCTGAGTCCTTCACCTCCTCTTCCCTCCCCAGCCACAAGGTATGCAGTTTTTACCACATAGTCTGACAAGTGCTTCCTCACCCAAAGCAACAGGACCAAGGAATCTTACCCTGAAACTGTGAGCCAAAATAAAGTTTCCATTTATACAACTTGACTTCTCAGGTATTGTTACAGTAACAGAAACCTGTCTAACATACACTGCAGTGGCCAACAGTTTCATGAACTGCCCCTAGGTGTCAGGGAGGCTGGGAATATAAATGTCTGCTGGATAGAATTACAATCATTGACTTTAACTGTAGCTCTCTCTCAGAGGCCAGCCATGCCACCCTGAACAAAGGGTTGGTAGACATGGAAAGAGGAAGGGAGATTAGTTGCTGACTAAAACTGACAATGACTAAGATTCAAACCAGCATGAGACCTCATTGAAGTCTGATGCTTAGTGATGCAAACAGCCATTCAACTGCATGTCAGGCTGAAATCACTCTTTAGGATCTCAGGCCAAACCCAGGGCCAGGGATAGCAGAAACTGCTCTAGAGTCAATGACGACAGTGTTGCATGTTAGTGTTCTTATGTGAAAATCTGTATGTGATAGCTTGTCTGATGACTTGAAAGCTGAGGACCGCTTTGTTTCCAAACATCACTGCCAACCTCCTAGAATTGGATATTTAGAAGCTTTTCTTTGGATTATATCAGTAAGAAGTATGTAGAGCATGATACCATGTGAGACTAAGATAACTTCTGTGGTGGTCATAAAATATGTCATACTCTGCGGTACGAGTTTCCTCAACCCCTCTCCCTTGAATGTGAGCTGGACTTAGTAGTTCTTTGTTGATTTTTTTGAGACAGGGTCTCTCTGCAGCCCCAGCTGGCCTGGAACTCGTTATGTAGACCAGGCTGGCCTCGAAATCACAGAGCTCCACCTGCCTCTGCCTCCCAAGTAGCGTGCTGGGATTAGAGGCGTGTACTACCATGCCTGGCTTGTAGCACATATTTTTATAAGGCTTGAAAACTGTATTGACTATTATATATACATTATTTCCTTTTATCCTAAAAATTCCCAGTTGACTCACAAAGGAATTAAAGTTCACAAATGTTAAGTGACTACAGTTATTTGCTAGGTATTTCTTCTTTATCATTCTTACTATTCTATTTTGGCTTGCTCTTCTTTTTTTGTGGGGGGGGTAAGCAGGGTCTCCCTGTAGCCAAGTGCTGGGACTACAGGTGTGTGTCACCATGCCCGGCTTGGCTTGCTCTTCTTACTCTCTTTGAAGATTACAGCCATCTTAACCATTATATTTCTGTGCCTGTAGGAATCTAGAGTGTCTAAGGATTTTGTAAAAATGTTACCTCCTAGCCAGGCGTGGTGGCACATGCCTCTATTTCCAGCACTCCACTTGGAGGCAGAGGCAGGCAGATCTCTGGGAGTTCCAGTCCAGCCTGGTCTACATAGTGAGTTCTAGGACAGCTGGGGCTACAGGGAGACCCTGTCTCAAAAAGACCAAAAAAAAAAATTCCTCCTTCCTCCACGGCCCTCCTCCTTTTTTGGCAGTGTTTGGGTTTGAACCAAGGACCTTATACGTGCTATGTAAGCTATCTACCACTGAGCTACATCCCCAACTCCCATTTAAAAGTTTCTAATTTTTTTTTTTTTTTGTGGTACTGGCAGTCAAACCCAGGACCTGAGGAATGCAAGGTATCTACCAATAAGCCATCCCCCAAGTCTCTCAAGACATATCCAACAGCAAACTTGACACATACAGAACTGAATTCATGTTTTTCCTTCTGAAGAACACATCTTCGTCAAGCCAGAAACACCCCAAATTACTGCTGTGTCATGATCAGGGAAATAAATCAGTAAGTCACGTGGTTGCCAACACCTGCCATTTCTCACTCTCTTCCTCTTCTCTCTATCTCACTGTAATGGCCTCAGCTCTCAGGCTCCTGTCTTATTTGGATTATTGGATAAAAATTGTCATATTATCAATATTCCCATTTCAAGTTTCAAGACTGTTGAAATAGTTTATGGTGCTGCTAGAACAAAGTTTTAAAAATAATTTTTTGCCTCACCAATGCCTTGCATATTCTTTGAATCCATCAACTTAACTTCATCCACAACAACTCACTAGCCTGAGGTTAGCTCTCCACCTTCATGTTCCTGTAACACTGGGTACTTACTGTCACTATAACATATTCAGCATACAGAAAACCCAAAGTACTAGAAGCTAGCTGCTGCTGATTTTTTTTTAAACCAGAGAAAGAGCATTTAAATTATGTTTCTACCTAAAGGAGACCTGCAAAATACGCCTGGGAGAAGGAAGGGCCAGAAGGTTGAAGTTTACAGCACCTTAAGCTACAGGGATCCTGAGGAATAAAGAGATTGTTCCCACTAAAGTGAGCATCTCTGAAAGCAAGGACCCCATCTTCTACTGTATCCCCAACGCACAGCACAACAAAGTCAATCTCCTTCCTGAGCATAAGGTGGGGCTTCTCAACCCAGCTCTTTTTCAGTCTCGAGTCTGCACCCCACGTCCCACCACCTACTTGCACCCCACCTACTTGCACCTTTGTTTAGGGTATTCAGGCTGCTCTGGCTTCCTAGAATGCGTCTCACGCCCTATCTAGCAATCCTCAAGTACCGCCTTTTCTGTCTAGACATTCTCCATCACCTCCCTGTAATAAAGCCCATCGCTGTCCTCCGAACTCACTGCACTCTCTGCAGATCTATGTATTTTAACACTTTATTTGCCTAAACATAACAGAACAGAGGTGCCTTATCTTTTTTTTTTTTTTTTTTAATCTTTTTGAGACAGGGTCTCCCTGTAGCCCCAGCTGGCCTGGAACTTGCTATGTAGACCAGGCTGGCATTGAAATCACAAAGATCCACCTGCCTCTGCCTCTTGAGTGCTGGGATTAAAGGTCCAAGCCACCACGCCCGGCTAGGCACCTTATCTTTAACTTCATATACAATGTGTCTATCATGGTGCCCAAGAATATGCTTAATAGGTATTTATTGAAGAAGCAGTTTCTCCACAGTGGTGAATGTACGAATGTAATGGAAACCTGGCTCTGGCTCTGTTCATAGATTTTCTTGTCTCTGCAAATCACTTTAAGAGCATGGATCATGCCAGGTGTAGTGGTGCACGCCTTTAATCCCAGCACTTGGGAGGCAGAGGCAGGCAATCTCTGTGAGTTCCAGGCCAGCCTGGTCTACATATTACCTTCAGTTTAAGTCATCAGTACAATTAGAGTCAAACATCATTAACAAAAAACAAAAAACAAAACAAAAACCTACAATCAAATGTATAAAAGAGAAGATTCATTTTAAAAGCCATGTTTCTATCGTTTTTTTCTTTTCCTATAGAAGGAAAACACAATGTTCGAGCACTAATATACTACAATGGTTTAACTTACCTTGAATCTTGTGGTCACTTTTTCTACTAGGATGAAGTGAACTTTTTCAGCATCTTTTAAGGCAATATCAACCCAATGAGATAATTTTCCCTTTCCTGCTCAAAACTCAACAAAGCATCTTCTTGGCCCAAGTAACTTTAATTTTTCAATGTTACCTAAAATAGAAGCCTGCAAACTTCACAGGATTATTTTATAAACTGGAGCAAACAGGTTTGACTCAAATGGGGAAACAGCAAGGTAATTTCCACATAAGGCAGTATGTTTTTACTGATAATTTCTGAATATCTTAAAACATTTTTCCTCGTTTTAAAATACTTAATACTCTGTGCTCAGGGTCATATCCATGCCAAAGTTTGTGTTATATATTCATATATAATTTTAAAATGAAAATATTTTGTATACTACAAGAAACTAAGTAAATATATTGAGAAAGAATAGAATGTTAGTTTTTAAAACATTATTTATTTATTGATTGTGTGTGTGTGTGTGTGTGTGTGTGTGTGTGCATATAGAGGTCAGAGCTAAATGTGCAAGAGCCAGTTTTCTCCTTCCACCATGTGAGTCTACCAGATTGAACTCAGGCTGTCAGGCCTGGTGGCAAGCCCTTTGTCACTGAGCCATGTCACCAGCTTAGAATGTTAGCTTTAAACACATGAACAAAGTTATTTTGGTCTAAACATACCTGCTGTTTCAGGTGCTTGGTTGCACAATCACCATTTTTAGGGTCATTAAGGGCATCATGTAATGCTGGATGGGACAAAATGTGATCTTCAAGTGTAGAATTCAAACCTGTGCCAAATAGAAACATGATAGCTTAAGCAAACATGACATTACAGTACTCCCAACAATGGCAGTACCGTCATGTAAACCGGAAGGAATCTATTCGTATGCCACTCGATTCCTCTACAATAATTGAACTTCCAACTTTAGGCGGACTTACCTTCACTTGCTTTTCTCAACTTCTTAATTAAGTTTTCCAACTGCTCTTCAGATAGAGAAGAAATTGGAACCTATACACAAAAATAAAACTAAATAACGTAGCCAAAACATGCTTTAAAGTAGCATGACAGAGACTGAATGGAAGCGTAACAGCTGGGCAAACCCCATGGCAGGTCAGGCGCTTCTTCCTGCTTAACTTTCATTAGTGGGCTGCTCTCGGAATTGCCCAACTGCTTTGGCTCTCCTCAGTCTGTGCTGCACTGCTTTAATTCCCCTAGCTTCCTCAGGGTCAAATGGTCTAGGCTCAGTAGAGATTAAGAATCTCAGGGGACTCAGAGTCATATTTTAGTTTGTTATGGGGCATAAGCTGGCCTGGGAACTGACCATCACTAACAACCTTGATCATAGAAAAATACATCCTAAATTCAAAACAACAAATCTTTCCAAACAAAACTGGAACATGGCCTATTTACAACATGGAGATTATCATTTTGGGTTAAGTATTAAGGAATATAATTACTAATTGTTCAGGTATATCTGTTTCATCCTTGAATCCTGCATTAATATCTTGAATAAAGAAATCCTTGATAAAAACAAAACCAGAACAATAGTTAATAGGAAGTTCACAAAAATTAAGCTGCAGAACTGCTTCTTCCCTCATCCCTCCCCTGCTCTGCATCTGTCACCTCTCTCTCCTGTCCACTGAACTGCTAAATAACTGCTGAGTCACTACTACAGTGACTGGCTTGCCTTAGGGGCTGGGTCTGAAGAGACACATCTCTATGCTCATGCATCTTCTAGTGAGGTAGTTATCTGAGTAAGAGCTACATTCTTAAAACTCCAGTGTAATGTTTATTAAAGTTTTTAACCCATTTACAGAAGGCACTGAGGATTGGGTGAGCTTTGCTCTATGGTACTAAAGTAAAAACAAAAGTGTATCTGCTCAGTGGGGACTAGCATGACCCTGAACAGACAGAATACAGCCACCCTAACTCAAATCTCATACAGCCAAACTTCATAAAAAACCCTGCCGTTTACTCACTTACCCTTCCAGTGTGGTTTCCGCCCACCCATCTATTTACTACAGGGTTTGCTAAGATCTTTGGTCTTTAGTAACCACCATATCGCCTCTGGTTTCTTTTCCACCCTTCTGGACCCCTTTGTGATGCTAGACCCTGTTGAATACTCTTTTCTTTTTGAAATTCTCCTTCTCCTGGACTCTGATGCACCATACTCTTCTAGCTTCCTTTTTACTGTCTCTCCAGTCATCCCATCTCAAACTTTAAAAAACTGATTTATTCATTCGTTTATGTGAATGAGTGTTTTGCCTGTATGTATGTAGGTGCACTGTGTGTGCAATGGCTGCAGAGGCCAGAAGAGGGTGTCAGATTCCCTGGAACTGAAGTTATAGATGATTGTTAGTCACCATGTAGGTGCTGGGACCCGAACCCAAGTCCTCTGCAAGAGTAGCCAGTGCTCCTAACCACTGAGCCATCCTTCCAGCCTCTTTTGATGTCACCATTGCTCAGAAGTCTGTCCTTGGTCTTAAAATCTACTCCCTAACTACTCTCAAGCCTCACCTCTTCCTCAGCCCTCTCCTTGTATGTGATATTTGAGTCTTATGAGATGTCCTGTCCCTGACTAAGCTATCTCCTCTCACTTCAGGACCTCTGTGCAATGTCTGCACACATACTCCTCCTGGACTGGCTGATCACTCGTAGCCTGAGGCTCTCATGCAGTATTTCCTTCAGAGAAGCCTCTCTGGTCCATTTCTCTCACTCCCTACAGTCTCCTAACTAGGATTAGGCTCTGTAGGGTTATTCTCCTACAGCAGCCAGTACTTTTCATTAGTTAACACATAATATTGCATTACCCAGTCCCTCGCTATATTCCAGTGTTATCCTAGAATTTTTTTTTGGGGGGGGGGCTTTTTGAGACTACCTGTAACCCCCCGGGCTGGCCTTGAACTCACAGAGATGCCTCCCAAATACTGGGATTATGTGTCATCATGCCCAGCTATCTTAGAATTCTTTTACTGAAATAGTTCAGTAGACACTAAGTAAATATTTTTCAACAGTGAAATTGTTTTCTGAACAACTTTCAAATTCCACATTTTATTCTCTTACTTAAGATTATATA